GTCAGCCTGAAGTGAGAGCAGTCTCAAACAACTAGCCATTTATCTGCAATAAAGTCAGCAACTAAGGGAAAACATAATTGTAAAATATCATTATTTGGGGTGCCATTATTTTGAAATGCTACATCAGAAGTTGCTCAAAATTGTTGAGAAAGATCTGGAGTAATTCTAGAGTCAGTCTGAAGTGAAAGCAGTCTCTGATAACTAGCTGATTATCTGCAATAAAGACAGCCACTTAGGGGAACCATAATTGTAAAATGTCGGTATCGGGAGTGCCATTATTTTGAAATCCTACGTTATAAGTTGCTCAGAATTGTTGAGAAACATCTAGAGATCTTCAAGAATCGGCCTATAGTGAGAGCAGTCTTTGACAACCCACCATTTGTATGCAATAAAGACAGTAACTTAGGGGAAACATAATTTTAAACTATTAGTATTTGGAGTGCTTTTATTTTGAAATTACAAAACTGATATTGCTCACAATTGTTGAGGAACATCTGGAGGACATCTAGAGTCAACCTGAAGAGAGACCAGTCTCTGACAACTAGCCGTTTAGTTGCAATAAAGACAGCATCTCAGGGTAACATTAAATGTAACATGTCAATAATGGGAGTGCATTTATTTTGAAATGCTACATCAGATATTGCTCAGAAATGTTGAGGAACATCTGGAGCACTTCTAGTCATTCAGAAGTGAGAGCAGTCTCTGACAACTAGCTGTTTAACTGTAATAAAGACAGTAACCTAGGAGAAACATAATTTTAAAATATCTGTATTTGGAGTGCCATTATTTTGAAATGCTACATCAGAAGTTGCTCAAAATTGTTGAGAAACATTTGGAAGAAGTCTAGAGTTAGGCTGAAGTGAGATCCGTCTCTGACAACTAGCTGTTTAACTGTAATAAAGACAACAACTTACGGGAAACATAAATTTTAAAATATAAGTATTTGGTGTGCTTTTATTTAAAAAAGCTACAGCAGATGTTGCTCATAATTGTTGAGGAACATCTGGAGGACCTCTGGAGTCAGGATGAAGTGAGACCAGTCTCTGATAACTAGCTGTTATTTGCAATAAAGACAGCAACTTAGGGTAACATTAAAGGTACTATGTCAATGGTGGGAGTGCTTTTATTTTGAAATGGGACATCAGATATTGCTCATAATCTTTGAGGAACATCTGGAGGTCTTCTAGAGTCAGCCTGAAGTGAGAGCAGTTTCTGACAACTAGCCATTTAGCTTCAATAAGGACAGGAATTTACATGTCAGTTGGGAGTGTCATAATTTTTGAAATGCTGCATCAGAAGTTGCTCAAGTTTGTTGAGAAACATCTGGAGGTCTTCTAGAGTCAGCCTGAAGTGACAGTAGTCTCTGACAATTAGCTGTTTATCTGCAATAGAGACAGCAACTAAGGGGAAACATAATGGTGAATTATCAGTATTTGGATTGCTTTTATTTTGAAATGCTATGAGAAGTTGCTCGTAATTGCTGAGGAATATCTGGAGGACTTCTAGAGTCAGTCTGAAGTGAAAGCAGTCTCTGATAACTAGCTGATTATCTGCAATAAAGACAGCCACTTAGGGGAACCATATTTGTAAAATGTCAGTATCGGGAGTGCCATTATTTTGAAATCCTACGTTATAAGTTGCTCAGAATTGTTGAGAAACATCTAGAGGTCTTCAAGAATCGGCCTATAGTGAGAGAAGTCTCTGACAACTTGCCGTTTATAAGCAGTAAAGACAGCAACTTAGGGGAAATATAATTTTAAGTTATTAGTATTTGGAGTGCTTTTATTTTGAAATACTCAACTGATATTGCTCATAATTGTTGAGGAACATCTGGAGGACATCTGGAGTCAATCTGAAGTGAGAGCAGTYTCTGACAACTAGCTGTTTATCTGCAATAAAGACAGCAACTTAGGGGAAACATAATTGTAAATTATCAATATTTGGAGAGCCATTATTTTGAAATGCTGCATCAGAAGTTGCTCAAGTTTGTTGAGACACTTCTGGAGGAATTCTAGAGTCAACATGAAGTGAGAGCAGTGTCTGACATCTAGCCATTTAGCTGCAATAAGGACAGAAATGTGGGGAAAACATAATTGTAGAATGTCAGCATTGGGAGTGCCATTATTTTGAAATCCTAAATAGGAAGTTGCTCATATTTGTCGAGGAACATCTGGAGGAATTCTAGAGTCAGCCTGAAGTGACAGCAGTCTTTGACAACTAGCTGTTTATCTGCTATAAAGACAACAACTTAGGGGAAACATAATTTTAAAATATCTGTATTTGGAGTGCTTTTATTTTGAAGTGCTACACCAGATATTGCTCATAATTGTTGAGGAACATCTGGAGGTCTTCTACAGTCAGCCTGAAGTGAGAGTCTCTGACAACTAGTCATTTAGTTGCAATAAGGACAGCAATTTAGGGGAACCATAATTGTAAAATGACATTATTGGGAGTGCCATTATTTTGAAATGCTACATCAGAAGTTGCTCAAAATTGTTGTGAAACATCTGCAGGACTCCTAGAGTAAGCCTGAACTGAAAGCAGTCTTTCACATCTAGCCGTTTAGCTGCAATAAAGACAGCAACTTAGGGGAAACACAATTTTTAAATGTCTGTATTTGGAGTGCTTTGATTTTGAAATGCTACATCAGATATTGCTCACAAATTTTGAGGAACATCTGGGGGTCTTCTAGAGTCAGCCTGAAGTGAGACCAGTCTCTGAGAACTAGCTGCAATAAGGACAACAATTGAGGGGAACTGTAATAGTAAAATATCAGTATGTGGAGTGCTTTTATTTTGAAATGCTACTTCAAATATTGCTCATGATTTTTGAGGAACATCTGGAGGTCTTCTAGAGTCATTCTGAAGTGAGAGCTGCCTCTGACAACTAGCCTTTTAGTTGCAATAAAGACAGCAACTTAGGGTAACATTAAAGGTACTATGTCAATAATGGGCAGGGGCGGTTCTAGGGGCGGGGCCACAGGGGCATTGGCCTCATCTGAATTCTCATTGGCCCCCCTGAAGTGCCCCTGTCCTGTCACTCATCTGTCCTTCACCCAAGAGTGGTTGCAGTTCCACTTCCAACAGTAGTGGCCCTAATGAGTCAAATAGGAAAGTCCAGCATGAAGCAAGCTTACACAAGTCTTTTTCAGTTTGAATATTCCTGCAGAAAAAGTGTTTTACCTGACAACAATGGCTGGATTTTCTCATGTGTGTTTGAGAGTATTTTATTCATGTACAGTAAAAATGCATGGAAAATTGGTAAAGAAAATTTAAAGTTTGAGCTTTTACAAGTGTCTCTGAACACGTGTGACTGATTGAATTTATACACGTTACAAAAACTGGAGATTTGTGTGCAAGCATGTCGAACAAATACTTGGTCCCTCTATGAATACTGTGGCCCCTAGATGGCCCCGTTCATGAAAAATCCTAGATCAGCCACTGCCTAATGCTAAGTAAATAAAAGGATAAACGGGGACTGTGACACAACCAACAACAAAACGAAAGAGTCTGAGACACCAGAAGAACAAATGTGTCCCACAGTCCTGGTATGGGTTTAGAAAAGATGAATGGATATTAAAATGCAAGACAGAAAAACAAACAACGCAAGTTTAAACAAATAACTAAGTAAAAACTGATAAAATAACATAAACATAAAAAATGAATTTGTTTTTAGGACCTGATTTGTAGTGTTTTGTACAGAGGCTGATCGATTCAGGCTCATTTTTCAGTCTGTCTGTCTGTCACTAACGTGGCACTCACAGACAGGTGAGCCACAGTCAGCAGGTATTTACATTTCTCTTTGTTTGTTTTACCTGTTATATACAGTTTATAAACACTTTTCTTCCCTTACATTATTATAACGTCATGTTGGGATCCTGGACAGGAGTTGCACCGACACCCTTCACAACATTGCTTCAGAATTTGTTGAGTTTTGTGTTGTTCAGCATCTCAAAGGCCCAGCTGTGCTGGTTTTGTCAGGAGCCCGTCTCCTGAGTCTGCTGTACTTCTGTGAAGGTTTGAGACACAACTGAAGAATCCTATTATTAGCTGTTTAAAAATAGCCCTGAGCTGCAGTTGTGACAAGAAGCCTGGAGAAATACAGCTTGATCTGCTTAAAGAGTGACGTGCAGGAGCCCACAGAACCTGAGCCCCCAGAACCTGAGCCCCAGTGGTGGGCACAGTTCCCCTAAAGCACTAAAATGCTAATAGGGGAGCTAATTTTCTGGTTAGTGCTTTAGGGCTGTTGCTAGGATTAGCACTTGCTAAATTTAGAAGCACTAACTGAGGTATATAAATATTATTGATCAACATTAATGTTAACAGCTGAGGGTGAAAACTGTCACACATTTTGTTCATATGTGTCACTGATCCACCAGGTGACAATATATGAACACAAATACAGCTGTGGAATGTCAGTGATAACAACATGACAACATGTGACTCCTGTTGTCTGTTGAACAATGTTCATGGGTTGACTGGGTTATTTTACTGCTTTAGAATTAGCTTTTGCTAAATTTTCAGTGCATTAGACTAGGGGACATAAATATTAGAGTTAGTGCTTTAGGGCTAGTGGAACTAGTTTTTAGATTAGTGCTGCCCACCACTGCTGAGCCCTTAGAACCTGAGCCCTCTGCAGGCCAACATCTGCTGACCTGACAGGAAGCGCTTTGGTAGAAATAAATATTTTCATGTAGATTAAAAATGAATTAAAGGTGTAGCATTCCTTAAAATAATGCTTTTTGTGAATTTTTGTTAAATTTCTGTCATTTGAATGAAGTTAGAGTGTTTTTCTCTTTGTTAAGTTTGATTAGCTGTGGCGGCCATTTTTACTGATGCAGACTCCAAAGGTTCATGTGTTCTGATGTGGACTCTGATTACTGGAATTACAACTCATCATCTGCTTCTTGAGACGATTTGCTAACAGACACCTCCCGTGATGACAACACACACACACACACACACACACACACACACACGTCACTTCCTGCAGTCAGAGCCTGAGCGCGCGGCTCTCTCCTCTCCAGTTGCGCTCAGAGCTGCAGACACTGATGAGATGTTTTCCTCCTGATGTTTGAAGACATGTCAGCGGTTTGTGTTGGAAGCAGAGGAGGACAGGACGGAGACATTTAGCACATCTGTGCTCAGGTGTCAGAGGAAACCAACATCTGGAGGGAGAGAAAGCCATCGATGCTCTGTGAACTGCTTCACAATCAACTTTCCAGATGTGAGACCCCGTCAGTCCGGGGTCGTACCAGATGTCCAACCCGCCCTCCGGACCGGCCCCTCGTTATGCTGTAGGATGAGCGCGGATCTGGAGCGCGCGCCTCTCAGCACACCTGTGAACGCGGCCGGCTTGGCTGGCCGTGCGCTCTCGGCCAACGTCCGGAGGCTCCACAGCGGTCTGAACCAGCTGCTGAGTGAGGTGGAGAGGGAGCAGTTCATCCACTGTCTGAATGTTTACCACGCCAAGCGCAACGTCTTCGACCTGGTCCAAACTCTGAAAGTGATCCTGAACGCGCCCGGGAAGCGCCAGCTGCTGCCCATGCTGCGCCTGGTCATCCCGCGCTCCGACCAGCTGCTCTTTGACCAGTACACGTCAGAGGGGCTGTACCTGAGGAGTGAGCTGCTCCCTGAGCCCGGCAGCGCAGACATATTTGGGGACGAGGACGACTCTACCCTGCAGACCTATGTCAGCTCGTTCCGGGCCCCGGCTCCCAGCGCCGAGCCCCCCGCCCTGACCCCGCTCTGCCTCGGAGAGGTGCGCCAAGTCACCCTGACGCGCTCCAGGAGCCACGAGGGTCTGGGCTTCAGTATCCGCGGGGGTTCCGAGCACGGCGTGGGGATCTACGTGTCCCTGGTGGAGCCCGGCTCTTCGGCCCAGAGGGAAGGACTGCGGGTCGGGGACCAGATAGTGGCGGCAAACGACATGGTGCTGGACAGTGTCACCCACGTGGACGCGGTGAAGGTAGGCTGTCATGTGTGCGCGTGCTTGGGTTCACCGAATGAGTGTGGAGGACAACTGGAACGTGCTCGTGCCACCAGTCTGGTCCTCCTCAGCCCTGGTCCAGCACCAGGCTGACAGCAGCATCATTTTAATCAGCTGCAGCCTGTCTGGAACAAACTGGGTCCACAGAACCCAGCAGAACCACTGAGACCGGGACCTGATTCAGTTTGATCTGAGTTATTCTGGTGAGTAAAGTAATGGATACAGTAGAGTGAAGGGTTGAGAATCAGACCTGTTTACAGTTTTTGTTATATTATCTATGGAAACATGAAGAAGATTTATGCTGCTTTAAATTTTTTCACAAAGGTGTCCCTGTTCTCACTCCTGCAGACTGTGTCTCATGAAAACCTGAATGAAGTATTTTTCATGTAAAATCCATCAGACAGACATGAACACAGCTTCTCACAGTAATACAGCTGTAAGAACTCTTCAGATCAAAGGTCTGTGAAGTTATTCTGTAAATATCCACTGATTTAACATTTGAACCTGTCTACTTCAGTCAGGAATCAAACCAACAACTTCATGTGAAGAAAACTGAACCACTGCAGACACACACCTGCACAGAGCAGGTCCAACTATGTCCACCACTGGGTGTCCCATGCACCCCGTGTCCTGTCATTTGTCCTCAGTGTTCTGTCCTCAGTACTCTGTCCTCAGTGTTCTGTCCTCAGTGTTCTGTCCTCAGTGTTCTGTCCTCAGTGTTCTGTCCTCAGTACTCTGTCCTCAGTGTTCTGTCCTCAGTGTTCTGTCCTCAGTACTCTGTCCTCAGTGTTCTGTCCTCAGTACTCTGTCCTCAGTACTCTGTCCTCAGTGTTCTGTCCTCAGTACTCTGTCCTCAGTACTCTGTCCTCAGTGTTCTGTCCTCAGTACT